GCGATGTGGGAGACATAAGTTAGAAAGAGATAAATGTAGTTTTCAAAAATACGCCAATAAGAAGTGTGGCAGGGTGTGACCTGCAACCCGCAACACACGGTTGCTTAGCAACCGTACCCTGGTAGGGGAAGAGGTCGAGACCGGCCAGCGCTCACACAAATTCGCGTTTGCTCCTCAGTCGACGGTTCTAACCTCGTGCGTTGGGTGTATTGTTTATATGCTGGCCTTTTTGGCCTCGTTGACGTTTTGGGGCCGAAAGGTTGCCCTCTTTTATTATTTTTTTTTTTAATAACTTTTTTTTTTTAGGAAAGAGACCTTTTAAATGTAGCCATTGTTTTTTTTTCGGTCGTTTTTTGTTTTTACTGTTTTTTTTTTTTTTTTTTTTAAACAAAGAAAAAGGTGCAAATTTCCCGCGAAAACTATAATTTCCGTTTTTTTTTAAAATAAAACTAATAACGATTTAATTAAATACGGACTAATCGGTTTTTTTTTTATTATCGACCGCGATAAAAGGTTTTAATTATTATTATTATTAATACTATTTCCGTAAATTTATTCGATTGGGTTATTAATTATAGCAAAAATTTTCTTTTTTGGAAAAATGCTGACGATTTACGTAACTAATAATATCTCAAAGTGTTTTTTTAAAAATAATAATAATTTAACGCATTTATTGTGATCGATCGTTTTTAATAATAATAATAATTTTTTTTTAAAAAGTGTTAGAAAAAAAAAGGAAAAAAGGAAAAGAAAAGAAAAAAAAAAGTTTTTAGTTTTTATTGTCAGATATAAAAAGTTTGGCGGATCCCGCCTGTATCCGGCACCATTATTATACCACACAACGCATTGGCGGTGTGCGCCTCAGTACCCGGGGGCTTTTTCGGCTCCCGCTCCGGGGTTCCAGGGCAACCACCCGAAGGTACGTTATTATATTTTATTATTATTATTATTAAAATAGTAACTGACTAATCGACCGCGCGATATTATATGGATTTTTAATTTAAAACGACGAGTAAACGACGACGGACAAAAAAAATTTTTTTTTTTTTTCCTTCTGCTTCATCAAAATGTCTGAAATAGAAAAAAAAATCGATTAACGATCAATAAAATTAATGATAAATAAAATTAATATAAATAATAATAATAATAATAATGATAATGCATTACGGGTATAAAAAGAAAATTTTTAAAAGGTAATAGTCAAGTTCAAAAAACTTTTCACAAAATTATTTTTATATAAACGAAATTAGCAATTTTATCAGGTTTACAATTTTGTAGGTTTGTCTATCTCTATCTCTCTCTCTCTTTCTCTCCTCTTTTTTTTTTTTATGAAACGTGAGTTATGTACAAACGTGATTTTATATATAAAAAATTTTTTTTTTTTATGATATAAATTATGAAAAAAAAAAAAAAACCGAAAACAAATTGACATTTTTTTTTCTCTCTCTCTTTATTCGAATAATTTTATTTATTACGTTAAATGTTACCTTTTTTTTGTCTGAGAAAAAGAGAGAGAGAGGGAAATATTAAAATTATTATTACATTTTAAAACGTAATAATAATAATAATTTTTAATTATTTACGTACCTGGAAATTTTTGTCAAGTAAAAAAGTAACGAGTAATAAAACCGTAAAAAAAAATTTTTTTTAAACTAACGTCCCCCCACGTCTCCCCGTTTGCGTTTGTTGTTTGTTCGCTTCGTATTTTATTCTATGAATCGTTGCGATAATAATGATAATAGATAAATAAATATTAACCTGATGATTTAGGGATTATAATTTAATAAAAAATTTTTTTCGGGGGGAGAAGGAAAGAAAGGAAGGAAGGTAGGTAGGGGAGAGGAAGATTCAGTAACCGCGAAAATTTTTTATATGGGTTAACAACCTTTTTTAATAAGAGGAAAAAAAACAAACTAAAAGTCACGTGCGAAATTATAAAATTTAAAAGAAAAGTGGCAAGAGAAAAGTCGAAAAAAAAATTTTTTTTTATTTGAATTTGGTCGGTCGTCAAAAAGAAAAGAGCGTGGAAATTTTTTACCGCAAATTACAAGAGAGAGGGAGAGAAATTTACCCGCAAATGGGTCGGTTTTTTATATTATATTTTCTTTAAGTATATTGAAAAAAGGAAAAAGTGGCACACGAAAAATTCTTTTATGTTTGCCGCCGCCGCCACAAATAAAACAATTGTTTGAAAACAATTTAATTTCCTCCCCCCCCCCAAAAAAAAAAAATCAAATTAAATTAAAAATCAAATTTGTAGGAGCGTGAGAAAATTTTAATACCTTTTTTTTCCTGACGTGCGTGCAATTATATACGTTTGATACGATATCACTTTTTTTTTTTTTCTTAGGCCACGTCCGTCTTACGCAAATTTTTTTTACGCATGTAATTGACGAATCGACGCTAACGTCATGTAAAAAAATTTTTTTTTCAAATACTCGTCACATAATAAAAGTTTACATAATTTTTTAATTAATTAAAAAAATAAAAACTCTTCGTCGTTTATTTTTTTATAGTCTATACGTGTTTGTTTGAGGGGGACTCTCTCTCGGGGGGTGGGGGGAGAAGGAAATGACGATAGGGTGTAGGGCACAATTAAAATGACACAAAAATTAATTTTTTTTATCAATCGAAGAAGATGAATTCGCGTAACGTAATAATTTTAATAATAAAAAAATATTATTATTATTATTAAACAGTTTAAAAACCTAAACGCTATATAAAGTTCATTTACACAAATGATAATGATGATGATATACTGCATTGTTCCTTCAATGAGCAGGGGGAGGGGAAAATTTAAGATGACGATAAAAATAATTCAGTCGAAAATTTTCCACGACGTTTTTTCTTTTTTTTTTTTTCGTACGTTTGGGAATTATTTCTGTCGTCGGAAAATTTTTATTTTAATTTTTTGTTGTTGTTAAAAATCGGGGGGGGGGGAGAGGGAAGAAAAAAAACGTGTTCTGCTTTTTTTTAAGAAAGAAAGAAAGAAATTATTAATTTTGTTAGTTAAAGTAATTTTAAAATTTTAATTGTTTAAACGACGAGTTCGTTTCAATTATTATTATTATCGTTCGTTACGAAATTTTTCCGGGTAGAAGAAAGCAGACGACAAAAATTGATTCCACGTTTAATTTTTTTTTTTTTTTTAAATAAATTTTTTACACTCGCTAATGGATTATTTATTTTCACATGTCAAATAATTTTTTTTTTTATTTTTATTTTGTCGTTTCCGGTCGAGTAAATTAAAGAATGAACGGAATTTATTTCGTCTGCTAATGATAATAATAAAATTTAATAACAGGAAATCATATTTCATACGTATAAAAAAAAAGGCGCGAATTTTTTTTTTTTTTTGATTCTTATCAATTAAAGAAGAAAATAATATAAATAAAAAAAAACTTTTAACGATTCTTTATATTTTTTTTTTCGTTTTAAATTATTATCTAGTACCACGACGACAAAAATTATTACACAAAATAATAATAATAATAATAAATACCTTGAGAACGGAAAACACGTGACATTAAGATAAAAAAACACGCAAAAAAAATACGTTTCTAACGTTAATTATAATTACTTAACAATTTGAAAAGTAACAGAAAAAAATTTTTGAATTTTTTCGCGCCATTTTTTTTTTTTTAAATTAATTTTGTAAGAGTTTTTACATTAAAATTTTTTCAAGTATAAAAGTGACAAGTAAGTCAGATATATAAAAATGAAATCATGTCGCAATTAAATAAATTTGTTAATTTAATTTATAAAAAAAAATTTTTTAAAAGCACACAATAAAATTGCAAAATATATATAATATAGTATGTTATTATCAATGGATGGATACTTTTTACACCACCTTGACCTACGCGGGGGGGTCACGATAATAATAATAATAATACGTAATGTAATATTTAAATAATGAAATATAAAACGTTGACGACGTATATGAGAGCGCGTTTCGGGTTTTTTTTTTTAAACAGGTGGACTTGACGAAATTTTTTTTTTTTTTTTATACCTAAAAGTTATTTTGCGGCCAGTTATGTATGATTTTATGTTTAGATAATGTTTGTGTTTGATGATGATGTGTTGTTAAATAAAACAAGAACTAACGTTGTCTGTTCACACTCAATACTTTTGATATTTTATTTTTTCATAGAGATAAAATCTTAAGTGGCATTTGCCGTAAAAAAATAAAAGTAGTTTACCCGTATCAAATTTTTGTTGTTGTTGACAATTTGCAAATTTTTATTTATTTATTTTTTTTTTTTTTTTTGTTTAGGCAAAATATTTTCTCCGCCAGAAATTACAACATTGGAGCTGGGGTTCCCCCGGAGCATGGCGTTAGTGGCACCGCCGCCTACAGCGTGGCGAGAGCCCGGCGCTATGCTGGGCCCTGGTTTGGGCCCTATAGGACCGGGTCCCGGTCCCGGTCCCGTCACGCCGACGCAAGCAGAAGATATAACTGCATTGGTACCCGTCGTTAGGGAACTCCAACAGTCTGCCACGCCGGGTTTACAATCTAATTCTACTCAAAGCGGTGGATCTAATAATGGCGTTGATAAAAACCAAAATATTGAATGCGTCGTGTGCGGAGATAAATCTTCAGGGAAACATTATGGACAATTTACGTGCGAAGGTTGGTTATAATTTTTTTAACAATGTTTAATTGTTCAGAACACTAACGGCAAAAAAAAAATTAAATGAGTTTAATGAGAAGAAAGCATTTTTTTAAATTCTCTTTCTTTCGCAATAAACCACACACACACACCGCGATAATCAAACCAATGACATTGTTCGTTTTATTCGTGATGGGAAAGGCCATTGGCGATCACTTTCCTTTTATCAACAAACAACAACAACCAAAACAATAATGGCTGAAACCATGTTTCATTTCTTTTTCCCGTTCAAATTCAATATTTGACCTTAAGACCCTTATCTTATAAAATTATTTTTTTTTTTTTGTTTTCCATAAAAAAACAACCGGAAACGTCGGAATTAAAATTTTTTTTTTTTTATGTAATAGAATAATTTAAATAACGATTATTAGGAAGTATAAAATATTTTTCCTTTTGCAAAAAAAAAAAGAATAGGAATAGTTTTAAAAATAGTCTGGTTGTCTTCTACAAAAAAAAAGAGTCTGCATTCAAAATTAAACATTTTTAAAAAAAACGCAATAAAAAAAAATCCCAGTCAGGCACTCTCGGACCCTTTCTTTGCCAGTTAAAAAAAAAAAAAAAAATTGAATAAAAGAATTTTTTTTTTTTTGTGATAGAAAAAGATTAGAAGGGAAAACAACATGTTGTAATATAACCTGCCAAAATAGGTGGTCTCATAAGAACTGACTCTCCGGAAGAGTTTTTAATGCAAAAGCCAGCCACTTCTCATCGACTTATCCCTTCTTCTTCTTCTTCTTCTGTGATATATGGGAATATTATTTATCTGGCAGGAATTTTGAGAATCAGGTTCTCTCTCTATCTGATCACGTGATTTCGTACCTTCGGCCAAGGTTTTTTCTGTTACGATTGTATCTTCGGTTGTTATTTCTCTTCTTTTTCTTATTTCACAAAGATATTATTATTATTATATATTTCCTTGCTGGATCTCGTCCAACGTATGTTTCTCTCTCTCTCTCTCTATCATTTTTATCCATATAGGATGCGAGAAACCATGATTAATAAAAAAAAAAAAAATTAAAACTACATATATATATATATACAATTCTTGCATAATAATTATGAAAAAAAAATGATGCAGCATTTAAAGTTTTACACGTTTTAAAAACGTTTTCATAATTTTTTTTTCTCCACTTCTTCTTCTACTTATTTTTTCTAATTAAAACATAATTAAAATGATGATAATAAATATTATTATCATTATTAATAACTACGAGA